TTGGTCTCTGTCCGTCTGTCTCTGTGTTGGTCTCTGTCTCTTGGTCTCTGTCTCCCTGCCTGTGTCCTTTGGTCTCTGTCCGTCTGTCTCTGTCTCTCAATCTCTGTCTTTCTGTCTCTGTGTCTCTCTCTCCATCTCTGTCTCGGCCTCTCTGTCTCTGCGTCCGTCTCTCTGTCTACGTCACTCTCAGCATGGCCTCTGCTGCGTTGCTCTCTGTAATTTATTTATCCATTTTTACTGATGCGTGGAGTTCCCTGCCGCTAGGGGCGTCACTCCCTGGTCTCTCCGCACGCCCTGGGTCTCCCCCAGACCCTTCTCTGTCCTGCCCCTCACCCCTTCAGGTCTCTGCTCATGTGTCTTCTTGAGGAGATGTTCCTTGTGCCCTTCACCTGCACTGGCCCTCTCCACCCTGGGGACAGGAGTGCTGGCCGAGCCACGCAAGCCCATGTGTCTGCAGCCCCCAGTGGTCCAGCCAGACATGCGTCTCCTCTGCCCTCTCTGTTCACCACAGGTTTTATTTTTCTTCACAGCGTGTGTCACTTTGCGACATTGTCTGTCTGTCTGGTTGTTTGTTTCTTGCCTGTCTCAAGCCCATGTGTCTGCAGCCCCCAGTGGTCCAGCCAGACATGCGTCTCCTCTGCCCTCTCTGCTCACCACAGGTTTTATTTTTCTTCACAGCGTGTGTCACTTTGCGACATTGTCTGTCTGTCTGGTTGTTTGTTTCTTGCCTGTCTCCCCCAGCGAGGATGTAACCCCTGCAGTGCCGGCTCTACCCGGGGAGTGGCGGGTGGCCTGCAGCCAGCAGAGGTGACCACCAGGCAGCGGGCCCTTCCTCTCCTGGGTCACCCTGCCCCGCCCCAGAGTGATTCATAGCCTGGTGTCCCTTCTCTGTGGTCTGGGAAAGAAATAATACAGCTGGTCACAGTTGGTTAATACATGGTTACAGTGCAACCAGTAACTTTCACGTGTGGCAGACACTGTGTGCTGGGGCTTGGGTTGTACCTGCCCCAAATACGCATTGATGTCCTAGCCCTGGGACCTGTGAATGTGACCTACATGCAAGTAGGGTCTTTGCGGATGTAATTGAGTTACCATAAGGTTGTCAGGTGGGCCCTGATCCAATGACTGGTACCATTACGAGAGAAGAGACATGACCACACAGGGCAGAGGACCACACGGTGACATGGCAGGGACCTCAGCAGTATGGACACAGCCTAGGAGCACCGTGGACTGCCAGTCACCACCAGGAGGCAGGAGGTGGGCATAGAATGGACCCTCCCGAGGGCCTGTGCGGGGCGTGCGGCCCTGATTTCTCATTTCTGGCCTCCTGAACTGGGAGAGAGTAATTCTGTTGTTTTGAGCCCCGGCTTTGTGATAACCGGTTGCTGCGTGGTGGCGGTGGGACAGGTCCCAACACGCATGGCCGAGCTCTTGCCGCCTGTGGTACCAACTGGTTCCCCTCCACGCTATGACTCGACAAGGAAGTCAGGAAGGAAAACATCCCCACAGGGCCAGCGTGGGAAGGACGGTGACTGGCCGCTGGCATGGGGTGGGGTAGCAGGAGAGGGGGAGAGTGGGGAGGGGAGGAAGGGACAGCTCGTGGTACACCCGAGGCTTGCCCTTGGGGTCAAAGTGATGGGGAGTCCTCAGGTAAACTGTGGGTCGTGAGCACCAGGAGCTCCCGTCAGACCAGCGGCTGACACACCATCCTCCCTCTCTCTCCACCGAGGACTCTCCAGGACCAGGGTTTGGCAGGACCCCGAAAGACCTTTTCTATCCCTTCAGATGGATGTTCCTAAAGTGCTGGTCCCGGTGAGAAGAGCCTGACAGCAATTCAGGATCAGCACAGAATGACCCTGAGCAAGTCCTGCCCTGTCGGCACATCTCACGGCCCACGTCACAGGAAGACCACGGGACGGAGGGTCCCCAGGGCTCCCGTGGGCCTCACACAGAATTTATCACCTACTACGTTGGCTTCTGTGAGCGTCTGTGCCCGGCTGTCCCCTGACTCAGGCCACCCTCCACACCTTGCCTGACCCCAGGGAGGGTCTGGGGTCCTCTGAGTCCCTGGGTCTTTAACTTGTACATATCTCACTTCCCAATCACCCTGGTTCCACTGCTACTTGCTTTTGTTTTATGGATGTGATACTTTCTAAAATCTCTGTGTTTCCAGATTGAAAAAAGACCACACTAGAATATATGTATATGTGTGTTTTAAGGAATTGGCTCATTCAAATGTGGACACTGGCAAATATAAAATCCACAGGGCAGCTCGGCAGGCTGAAAACTTGGGCAGGATTTCTATGTTACGACCTTGAGGCAGAATTTTTTCTTTTCTGGGAAACCTCAGTCTTTTCTCTAAGACCCTCAACTGATTAGACGAGGCCCACCCACATTATGGAGGACCATCTGCTTTACTTAACGTTTGCTGACTGTAAATGATAGTCTCACCTACAAAATACCTTCGGGGCAACATCTGGATGAGTGTTTGAACAGTGGCACACTGTGGCCTGGCCAGGTGACATAAAGTTCACCATCACCTGACCCCCTACCAGAGTCACTCTGAGATGCGGGTCTGTTACTGGGTCCCACAGAGGGCCTACTGGGCTATGAGATGGCCCAGGTTTTAGTGAGACTGAGGTTTTTGTCCACATGCACCCCTGCTCTCCTGGGCAGCTGGGCCAGGAGGGTGAGATGCTCCTGGGGGACTCTGACCCCAGGCCAGGCACGACATACACAGGAGGACTGACTCTCAGGGTCCTGGGGCCTCCTGTGAGAAAAGCAGATAGATACAAGGGTCTTCAAGAAGTTTATGGAAAATGTGTATTATGAAAAAACTAGGCATGGATTTCAAAATTTTTTTTGCACCAAAATAAACTCATACTAACTTGTTATAAAATGTCTGAACAGGATCTAGTTTGAGGCACTAAGAAGGAAAAGACTTAGTTTGAAAAGAGCCCCTGTCAGAGCAACATGAATTCTGCTAAAATTGAAGCAAGAACAAACATAAAATTTATGGTGAAGCTTGGGTAGATGCTGAAATCATTGATGTGTTATGACAAGTTCATGGGGACAATTCCCCAGAGAAATCAGCAAAGGTCACGGCAGCAGTTTTTTGGGGGATGGTCAAGACATTTTGCTTGTTGACTCTCTGGAGGGCCAAAGAACAATAACATCTGTTTATTATGAGTGTTTGGAGAAAGTCAGTTGAAGCTTTAGTGGGAGACCTCCCGGGAGAGCTTCACCAGAGAGTCCCTCTCCACCACGACAGTGCCCCTGCTCACCCCTCTCACCAGACAGGGCAATTTTGAGAGAGTTTCAGTGGGACATCATTAGACATCCACCTTACTGTCCTGATTTGGCTCCTTCTGACTTCTTTTTGTTTCCTAAGCTTAAAATGTCTCTAAAGGGCACCCATTTTTCATCAGTTAATAACGTAAATGAGACTGCACTGACATGGTTAAGTTCCCAGGACACTCAGTTCTTCAGGGATGAACTAAATGGCTGGTGTCATCCTTTACAAAAGTGTCTTGAAGTTAACGGAGTTTATGCCAAGAAATAAAGTTTATATTTTATATTTTTATTTTTATCTTTTTTTCCCCCCAACAAACTTCTTGAAGTCCCCTAGTATACCCAGGCAGGTCAGATTCTTTTCACAAGAGGCCCTCACCCTGTGTATATTGGGGTATGCACAGATCAGATCTCTGGTCCGGCAGGCACCTACCACCCACGATGAGGCACTTGGGGGACACAGAATAGATGCTGGTCCTAGATGAGCTGATCTCAGGAGGACGCTCCTGCTCATGAGGAAGAGGCAGCACAGAAAGAACCACAGGAAAGAGTGCTGGGGTGGAGGGAGTGTTTATTCAGAGGATCACAGAGTCCAGCGGGATTGTAGCAGATACCAGATAGCAAAGGAACCATCACATGGGGAACCACAGGAAAGAGTGCTGGGGTGGAGGGAGTGTTTATTCAGAGGATCACAGAGTCCAGCAGGATTGTAGCAGATACCAGATAGCAAAGGAACCATCACATGGTCGATGCCCACAGGTGGGTGGGTGGGAAGCTCCTGGGCGATGGCAAGAGTGGGGTCTCATGGGGGGGTGACCTTGGGTCTGCGCATGCGCGAGTGTGTTCAGTGAGCTGGACTTAGCTTCAGCCCTGGGGGTGGGGGCAGGAGATGACTGGGAGGGAATGCTGTGGGTCTGTTGGGTCCTGGCTAGTGCTGTAGACTCCTTGTGATGAGTGGAGGAGAAAATGACTTGCCTGGGACACCACTGGGGTGACGAGGAGGGAGACAGGGTGAGTGAACTTCTAGGTGAAGCCATGACGTGGGCTGGGAGCTCTGTTTCTGGTTTGAGAGATGCAGACTGCCATATTCCAGGGGAGAGCAGACTCCGAACTCCACTTCATGGGTCTAGGGATACAGCCTGCTTTTGCTTGGGGATTTCAGGTCTGTTGGAGCCACCTGAGATCTGGGGTCAGAACATCAGATCTTACACTGGCAGCATACAGGGACACAGCAGCTGGACTGGGAGCAGCAGGGCTTGCAGCAGCTGGACTGAGAGCAGCAGGGCTTGCAGCAGCTGGACTGAGAGCAGCAGGGCTTGCAGCAGCTGGACTGGGAGCACACGGGGACACAGCAGCTGGACTGGGAGCAGCAGGGCTTGCAGCAGCTGGACTGGGAGCACACGGGGACACAGCAGCTGGACTGGGAGCAACCACAGGAGCTACAACCCCCACAGGAACCACAGCCCCCCTTGTAACCTCCACAAGAGCCACAACCTCCCTTAGAGCCCCCACAAGAGCCATAGCCCCCTTTGGAGCCACCACAAGAGCCACAGCCCCCTTTGCCACAGCTGGAGCAGGAACAGGCTGGCACACAGCAGCACACAGGCTTGCAGCAGCAGACAGGCACACAGCAACTGGAACCACAACCGCCACAGCTGGAACCACAACCCCCACAGCTGGAGCCGCAGCCTCCACAGCTGGAGCCACAGCCCCCACAGCTGGAGCCGCAGCCTCCACAGCTGGAGCCACAGCCCCCACAGCTGGAGCCGCAGCCTCCACAGCTGGAGCCACAGCCCCCACAGCTGGAGCCGCAGCCTCCACAGCTGGAGCCACAGCCCCCACAGCTGGAGCCGCAGCCTCCACAGCTGGAGCCACAGCCCCCACAGCTGGAGCCGCAGCCTCCACAGCTGGAGCCACAGCCCCCACAGCTGGAGCCGCAGCCTCCACAGCTGGAGCCGCAGCCCCCCTTGGAGCCCCCACAGGAGCCACAGCCCCCCTTGCAGCCCCCACAAGAGCCACAGCCCCCTTTGGAACCCCCACAAGAGCCACAGCCCCCCTTGGAGCTCCCACAAGAGCCACAGCCCCCTTTGCCACAGCTGGAGCAGGAACAGGCTGGCACACAGCAGC